ACACTGTCACAAAGGATGAGCCCAAAACAGATGTGGGAAAAATAAACAGCCTTGCTGCTTCGGAATTGATAAAACAGTCCCCAAAGAGCAAACAGGCCTTCTCCCCACTGCTCAACTTCAAGGCCCGTAAAAAAAAAATGCTGCATGAGAAACCCTCCCCGATGGATTCAGTGTTAGGCTCAACTTCTAACAGTCCACGTGCATTTAAGCCTTAGGAGACCACAGTCTGTAAATGTAATTGAAAATAGTTCAGTCCTGCTTACGTACAGGTGAGAACTGACCCTGAATGGGTATCACAGATGAGGCGATACACTGTATCCCTGAACATTTTTGTATCACGCAGAGTACCTACTCAGCCTCCCTTGCTCAGTTCGACATGTTCTCCAAAGAGCCTTTCCCAAGAAAGGCACTGCACTGATTTTAAACTTGGGTATAAAGTTGCCAGACAGCAATTCTTTTTGAGACGAGCTTGCATTCTTTTCCAAGGAGATTAGCGTGCGAGTTTGCCCTGACTTTACGTAGAGGAATGTGTTATGGGTTGCCCATAGACGTGGAGGATTAGTGAGAGGAGGGGCCCTCTATATGTCCTCGAGGGGCAGGGGATAAGTGGCGCTTCCCTTCAGACCTGTTCCACAGCATATTCTGTTCTTGAACTCAGATGGAACCACCCACACCACAGCCTCCAGAGCCTCAGCTTCACACTGGCTGCCACCTGCTTCTAGGCAAACGGGCACGCACAGAAAAACTAATTCAGCACCACCTTAAAAATATGTGTGGCTTGAACGTACCCTTTTAGGACACTGCTGTGCTGCTGAGTCACGTTTAGGCTCCACGATCATGGACTTTAGACTTTCGTGAACTAAAATGAGCATTTTTACATCATCTTCAACCCTAAAATATTAAGTAACCAGGTATACTTTCCAAGATTCTTACACAGTTTTATTATACTGTTATTTCCAGGATTCACTGCTCAAGTAAACATAAATATAAAATGGCAACGTTAGTCCGAAAATGTTTTTGACTACCCTAGAAAATCTGAAAAACATTCTCATGCTCTTGTGTTTGTGTTACCAAGGAACTTGCAAAAGCAGATGATTTTCACCAATGAAATATGGAAGGAGCCTGGGTCTCTTTAAAAGGCCGAAAATAGAACTTTAATGATTGCAACATAATCCCATAAACTGCAAGCGAACAACAAAACTTTACACCAGCACACAAAAGTCCTGGCTCCCAATGTGATGTTTTAACCCTCTACAACATTATTCACCAGCCAAGAAATACCTTGAACTGACAGATTTTCATGGAGACTTTATTACAGATATATACAAGTATCTTCTGTGAAGTATAAAAAAGAAGTATATGTCCTAAATGTCTCAGCTCTGTACTGTAGCTTGTTTGTAGTTTGTTTTCCTTAAAGAATTTCCTTTGAATTACCCAGCTATTTAAGTGCATTAGATTTCTTTTGAATACTTTTGATTAAGCAACGTGAGATGCGCTAACACAGTGTACATGGGGCACCTTCTCCAGGCTTCTCTTCCACCCCAGATTTGCGGGTGCGACGGGCAGCAAGAGCATCCATGCATGGGTGCTGCTACCCACATCGGCTCTGGAGGAACAGTCAGAACCTGCCAAAACAGCAGGCAATGTGTGCTCACGGTGTGTTAGCATGACTCAAACACTTCTTTTACAATGCTTCATAAGCATGTTCTGATGATGGTCATTTCCTCTGATGTTTTCCACACAATGGAAAGAAGGGAGGCCCTGGCTGGTGTGGCTCAATGGACTGAGGGCTGGCCTGGGAACCAAAGGGTCGCCAGTTCAATTCCCAGTCAGGGCACATGCCGGGGTTGCAGGCCAGGTCCCCAGTAGGGGACATGCAAGAGGCAACTACACAGTGATATTTCTCTCCCTCTCTTTCTCCTTCCCTTTCCCTGTCCCTAAAAATAAATAAATAAAAACATTTTTGGAAGGAAGGGAGGGAGGGAGGGAGGGAGGGAGGGAGGGAGGGAGGGAGGAGAAGAGGTGGGGAAGGAGGGAGGGAGGATTTTAATATCCATCTACTTGACATTTTCACCAATAACCTTGCATTTCATCAATTCCTTGAGGTGGGAGGGACAAACAAACAAATCTTTCTCTTCTAACAATAATGGTTTGACCTACAAATAATGCTAAAATTAAAATCAACTTAACGGCCTGACCCTGGTTCTTACAGATTAAAAGCTGGATTTCTAAAAAGCCACAGATGTAATCTTCTGTTTTCAGATTTGTCTTCTCTCTCGTGATCAAGTTAAAACTCTAACAACATAAAATAAAATTTAAAATCTTACCATTTTAAAATACAAAACATCATTTGGAATTGTTTTGATTTTTAACATGTTACAATGAAAAATAACTTCGAACCATAAATTGTATGCAAATGAAATTAGTTTTATTTTATTTTGTTCTCACAAAGAATAAAAATTAAGTTACTATAAATATTGTATGAATGGCATTTACAGCATAAACCTGCATTTATACACCTTTTCATAATTTAGAGTTTTGATTAAAAAATTCACATCTAAATTGCTAAAAGCACATAAGCTCATACAACATATACTTAGTTAAAAGTTAATTCATTGATTAACTACTTTTTCTCACATTGTCTCTTGTAGCTTTTTGGAAAAAAATAAGTCAATATTTGCGACATTAATGATACCACCAACTAAAATAGGAATATATATCACAGGCCAAAGAAATTTGATTATGGAAGTCTCTGGGTAGCTTTTTTATTTTTACTTTTTAATATAATATACTGAATAAAATATACTAAAATAGTTTGTCTTACAATACCTCGAATGCATTCTTAAGTAAAACTGCCCTGCCATTTAATGTATTTTAAAAAATAAATATTTGAAAAAGTGTATCCACAATGTTCCTAAGGAATGGTTTTGAATTCTCGAGTCCCAAGGAGATGAATTGGCTGTCAGATAACAATGCGCTTCCATCAGATGGACTTGGCAGTTGTAAACAAAAGGAATTTTCTCAGGTTTTCCTTACAAATATGAAATATTTGCTCTCGGCCAACAGCTGGGGTGATTTAAAGAAGTCTTGCATATATATTAGTTTTCATTCAAAATTACGAGTCCCCCTCCCACTCTGCGACATCTGACCGCATCTTAGTAGAAGAGCAATTTGTTCTGCGATGAAGTGGCATTACTAGGGGAGGTCAGAGGCAAGGACGTGGACCTGCTTACAACTCTAATCCAACTTCAGATCAGGAGGTGTCGGGTTAATAATTTTTAGGAAAAGTTAATTTACTCAGGATGAAAAATTTAAATGATTCTCTGGAGTGGCTTGAAAAATAATGAGAACGTGTGTTATGTTGCAGTGCTCCTGAAAATATTTAAAACTATTATATAACCAAAATAGAAACTGCATGAAAAGCCATCAAGTTGCCTTCAAAAATGTGGAAGTTGTTGAATAACCAAAACCTCTAGGTTTCCACGTGGTGACTAATTAAGTTATTTGTGAAAAACCTGTTAATATTTAAAGGATAATTTTAAATTATGTATTCACCTTATTGAGCATTAAAAATACATTGATACTTCCTTTTTTTAAATGAATGAATTAAAAATACCTTTGCAAAGTAATTAGTGGGAATTTGCTATTCATAAAAGCTTATGAAAAAAATCAAAGGATAACTATTTTCAGTTTTTTATAAAGTAAGAGAACTTATGGACCTTGTGAATTTAATCAGATGCTTATTTTGTTTTTACTCCTATCCCCCACACTAGCTCAAAGTAGTAATTTTAAATTTATGTTGAATTCCACAATAATATATTACCATGAGATTGATCATGGATGAAATTTTATAGGAAAATAAATTAAACGTCTGTTCAATTTACTTGAGGCCATAAACAGGTAGTCTATATTTTCAAACATCTTAGAAGTTGACAAGCAATTTTCTACTTAAAGACAAACACACAGAATTAACTTTTGCCCAGTAATGTGAGTGTACTGTGCCTAAAGTGGACTTCGTATTTCATTATTTACATCTTGTATTTTTACCCAAAGTGCCTATTAAAGTAGGCATGGAAACTTGTTAAAATAATCATTTACACTTTTAATAGAGCTGTATTTGCCCTTAAAATGCCAATCTGGTAAACATGTATTATCAAGACATATGAGACATGGAATTCATATATCAAAATACAAAGTGTATAATTAATCCTAATTATTACAGAGGTTTTGTCTTTTGTAGATACACACTGTAGATATAAAATAATAATAGTCCTCAAGTAATATACACCAACCCTTACAATTTTGCATCTAAAAATATATGTATGTATTGTGAAGTCTGAAGTCCATATTTGATCTTGTTGGAAAAAAAACAATCAAAGTTAAAATGACCACTCTTTGAGAACATAATTCTTACTTCCACTTCTACTAGTCTTTGCATTATTTGTCCAGCAGAAATATGTAGAAAGTTACTATAAAATGAAATAAATTTGTGAATAAAAGTAATTAACAATATTCACCGTAAGTGTTAAATGTCAGAAAGCGAATCTCTCATCATTAAGATTTTAAAATATTTCTTCAAATGTCACTAATGACACACAAAGCAACAACATGGAAATGAATACTATCAGCAAAAGTTCTTTTCCATACGCTCCACAAATGCAAATCAAATTACCACCTCTCTTTCTACCTAAGCAAATAAAACAAAGTAGATGAACAATAAGAAAAACCACACATGTCTTAGTCCCAAAGCAGAGCTTACCAAGGAAGCAAATGTTGCAAGAAGGTAAGTCTGTATCTTTCAGCTCTATTTCAAGTTAGTCCCGCTTATGTAAAAGTTCTACAATGTCTATTTTTAAATTAGTATGAAAGCCACTTACTCAACCTCTTTCTTCTGTAAACTTTCAAAGACTAAGACATGAAATTAAAGACATGTTCTTTGAAATTGAAGGATTTTTGAAAATACCATTATGTCATCCTAAGTTTGAACTGAAAATACTTACAGTCTCTCCAGTTCTTTAAGATCCTGGAATGCTCCTCTTTCGATGGTGCTGATCTTATTCTCCATTAGCTGACTGAAATGCAAAGAACAACAGGAGTCTTAATGTCACCCCTCATCAGCTGAGTGCCTTTCAGGGCAGCAACTGAAAACTTGCAACCTCTTTCCTGTTATAAAGTTAAATCTTGCCCTGGTTTGAGATACAGTATCAAATTTAACGATGATGTATTTGAAAGAAGTCAGGGAGGGGAAATAGCGTCCACATCACAAAACTTTCATTGAAAAAATTCCTCAAAGAGTTTGTCGTGAAATTTACTGGTCAAGACCCTGAACCTTAAACTACAGTAGATTCTGAAGAACCACCGTGGCCCTGCAGCTTTGATGGCTGCTTTTCTAGTAAACTGACTTTCAAGTGAAGTCTTAACTACGAGAATCAGGATACAGTAACCTATCACACACATACTTCAACTCCCATGCACCACAAGCTGGAAAAATGCGTAATGGTCAAAGTGTGTCTTTTAAAAAATGAACACTAAACACAGAGTGATCAAAAGTGTATGTTCACTGTGCTGTAAATATTTACAAATCTGTGGGTAGAAGAATTTTACATGACATTGAACCTCAAACACTGCTCACTCAGAACTAATTTAACCCACTAAGTAAAGAAGTAATCAAATTACAACATATTTATAAAACCTACAAAGGTATAACATGTAAATAACAATTCCAAATATGGCCAGTGTACTTTTATACAGAAACATTTCCCACTATAAACTCTGTGAAAAGCTGGATTGCTTGATTTTAATTTTAGAAATTTTGCCTGTGTTGTTTGCTAGAAAAGGTTGGACATTTCTATATCAGTAATAAAAATGAGGACCCACTTAAAGTATTTCTACTTAATCTCAAATCCTAAAAGTGCATCAAATATCTCACATTACTTATTCATATTGTGAAAGCAATTATTTTTTATTTTTATAGACATAAGGCACTTGGGGTATTGCATCACAAATACTTGAGGTTATTTCTATAATACTGTTTCTGTGGCCTGCATCCTATCTTAAAATAAAAGCCTGCATTTTTATTAAAAGTTGTAGTACAGTGATAAACTAAAAAAGAAAGGGAATCAAGACCATTTAAATGTTTACGTTTCTGTCATTGGGACAGTTTTTAAAACTGAGATCAATAATGATTGAAAATATGCAAGTTTAAAAAAACAAAAGAAAATTCATCAAAACACAGAAGAAGAACATACTTACAGAACTCTTAAATGTCTAAGACCAGCAAAATCCGTTTTGGTAATCCGTGTGATGTTATTTCCATTCAAATCCCTGAGAGAAAACAAGTAGGAAAATGAAAGTTCCACTTTATTTCTATCACTATCTAGTTAAACAAAGAAAAATAGAAACTAAATAAGAACCTGATGATTACAGATCAGTTCCAACGACTAAAGTAGCTTACACAGAAGAAGAGAGAAGGGGAGTAACCTTTGAAAGACATTTTTAAAAATGATTCTCAACAAGTTTACAGAGTCCGTGCTTGCTGGCACGTGACAAGAAAATGAAGTGATTATGTTATCACAAGAAGTTCTCTTTTGTGTGTGTCTGGGAGTGCTTGCAACCTTTGTGGGGGGTTTGTTTTGTTGTTCTTTAATCATTTTCGTTTTTTCAATTACAGCTGATGTACAATATTATATTAGTTTCAGGTATACACCCTAGTGATCAGATATTATATAGCTAACTGCGTGGTCATCTTGATAAACCTCATGCCCATCTGACACCATATATAATTATTAAAATATCATTGACTATGTTGTACTTTACATCCCTATGACTCTTCTGTAACAACCAACTTGTACTTTCTTAATCACTTCACCTTTATCACCCATCCCCAGCCCTCCTCCCATCTGGCAACAATCGAAATGTTCTCTGCATATATGAGTCTGTTTCTGTTCTGCTTGTTCATTTATTTTGCTTCTTAGACTCCATTGTTGATATATAGTTATTGCCATTTTGTTGTTTATATTTTTTATCTTTTTAAAATCTCTTCCTAAGGAAGATCCTTTAACACTCCATGTAATACTGGTTTGGTGGTGATGAATTTCAAGAGCGTTTTCTTGTCTGGAAGGCTCTTTATATGTCCTTTGATTCTAAATGATAGCCTCCCTAACCTGCTGGAGAAAATAGACATACAAGTCCAGGAAGCAGAGAGAGTCTCAAACAAAATGAACCCAAAGAGACCCACAGCAAGACACACCATAACTGAAATGTAAAAGGTTAAAGACAAAGAGAGAATCTTAAAAGCAGCACGAGAAAAGCAGGTAGTTACCTGCAAGGGAACTCCCATAAGACTGTCAGCTGATTTCTCAACAGAAGCTTTGCAGGCCAGAGAGAGTGGCAAGAAATATTCCAAGTGCTGAAAAGCAAGGCCTTACAACCTAGATTTCGCTATTGCCCTTTTGATTTTATAAGGTACGTGTACAGAACTTCCCAGGTATTCCTATTTACTACTACCGGCAGGCACACTCCCGAAGAGTTCCCTTCCAAAAGGGAAATGAACGGTACTCTAATACCACTCAAGAAGAAATTCTGAAAACCCAAAAAGGCCATCCTGGGGCGCAGGCAGGGTGGCTCAGCTTCCAAAGGCAAGGAAAGAGGGAGCGTGCCATCAAAAGAACTGCTCCTCAAAGGCTCGCGTTTTACAGGCTTTCCCTTCGCAACAATTCCGTGTCTGTGTGAAAGCTCCACTCTCCATTCGGAGCCCAGGCAGCCCCCGCGGTGCCTGTGACGCCAAAACCACGGGCGGGCGGGAGCAGCGATGGAAACAGCAGCGTTCAGGCCCCGACTTGTTTGCTTGCTCAGATTTCAGCACCACGTTTCTTCCCGGAGTCACAGCCCCTTCCTTCTCTGGCATCTTAGGTCAAGATCTAAACTTGCCCTGGTTCCAATCACTTCAAGGAAAACCAGGCTTGCTTCGCTGTGGTCTGAATGTTCTCCTTCACGGAAATGAGTTTCCTCGTGCCTCGCCTTTCAAACATCGTGCTCGGAATCTGTGTGTAATGTGCTTATTGTGTCATGGGTAGCATTTTATCAGCCAGCACTTGCGTCAACTATATTTTCTAAAAAAAAAAATCTTTACAGATTCCTCATAGGGATATTTTTTTTCCCAAGGACCTGAAACTCAATTGCTATTTTGTCTGGTTTTGTTGACTAAGCTAGGTTAGTGCTTGAACTTGAAACTGTTCTGAGTAGCCTGAAATGGCAGATGCTGCAACAAAATTTGCATTGCTTTCTCCCCAACCCACTTTCCATACTCAGCACAAAGTACTGTCCAGTTACTCCTACAATTGTTGGGACCTCTCACCAGCTATCTGACATAACACGAATGCCTACCCACCCACCGCCACCCCAGACAAATGCGGTGGGTCACATTTTGACAAGGCACCCTTGGTAGATAGAGCCCCAACTTGCCCAGCGCCGAGGGCCTGGGAAGAAGTGCGGCTGGGGGTGGGGGAGCCATTTGCAAAGGCTCAAGGACTCAACAACACTGGCCTTTAAACTGAGGGCCGGGCAAATGGGTTAGGTAAGCGCAGCAGCTGCGGCCCTGCGGGGGAAGACTTGCGGATTGGAGCTAGTCCTCTCCGCGGCAGGCAACCCTCGCACCCCGGGGGACACAGAGGCCCGAGACTGGAGTCGGGGAGTGCTCTTCCCCCGGTGCCCTTGTCCCGCACTCGCCGCGACTGCGGGGCCCACGCGCAAGGGCGAATGGAGCGCGCCCGGGGCGCTGGGGCAGAGCCGGGCGGCGGCCTCGGCGATCACAAAGAGAATGGTCTCCATGCTCCACTTCCCTGAACTCCAGAAGCGCCCCGCAAGGAGCGCGTGGGCCGTCAACACCGGCTCCGCGATTACTTCTTCATTAGAGACTCGCGGAGACAGACAGGGAGGCGGGGATGTCTGCGGGCAGTCGAGCGCGGAGAGAGGAAGGAAGGGGAGCTGCTGCCACGTGAAGGGGCGCAGAAACTGCCAGAGAGGTGAACGGGGGCACCAGGGCTCCGCGGAAAGAGCCGGAGGGGGCAGCCGAGGGCTGCGAGGTCGCCGAAGCGGTCAGACCCGAGTCGACTCGGGTCGGGCTGGAGGGGCAACCCTAACTTCGCCTAACGGTGGGACGTGGTCCTCCACTGCAGTCGCTCGTTCGGACAGGTCTCTAGGGACCCGCAGCCGCCTGCCTTTCCCGGGGGGGGGGCGGCGGGGGCGGGAAATAGTCGCGGGGTGCTGCGCGCCGCCACTGTGGAGCTACCGCCTTCCCGGGGCATCCTTCGCTCCGCGGCCTGTGAGAAGCGCCCCGGGTGGACCCAGACGCCCCACGACCCCTTCCCCCCTCCCTTCGGACCCAGCGAGGCGACACAAAGCCAGGGAGTGCGCATTTCTCCCTTTTGAGTCTCCGCGCCAGTCCCCCCCGCACCATCGGTAGCGGCCAGAGTGGGGACTGGGCCCTGAAACTGACCCGCGGACCTTGGCAGTGGCAAGGTGACTCGGTTTACTGATCCCGGAGAACAAAGTCGCGTTTTCCTCGCCCCGAGCATCCGCGAGCATTGCCCCCACTCTCCCCCCGCCTTCCCGGCCCCAGAGAACTCGACCACACGGGACTGCGTGTGGCGGGACAAGAGCGGGAAGAAGGGACCAAGCTCTGTTGCCAGCGGGCCCGCCCCTCTTTGGGCAGTGACCCCTCCTTGGGCAGCGCCCTCGGATCCCTCACCCTCCCAGAGACTTCACCCCAGGATGCGCATGCAGAGCTAGTGCAGGCTGCCCCAGGCACAGGGGCTGGTGCTGCTAGGTCCCTCCAGTCTCCATGCACGACACAGACGGGGGGGGGGTGGAGGAAGAGCCCATACTCACAGTCTCTCCGTGTTGCGGGGGATATTCCTGGGCACGCTGCGCAGCGCTAGCCCGTGACAGTCCACTGTGCTGCCCGAGCAGGAGCATTGCGCCGGACACGCTTGAGGCGCCACCTCGTTCAGGATCGCCAGCACTAACCCCAGAGACAGGGACAGCGTCTGCCAGCCGACGCCAAGCATCTTCCCCTGCCTCCTCCTCGCTCGCCAGTGCCGGGGGTTTCTCTTCAGCACGTTGCTCGGCGCAAACTGCGCTGTGGCTGAGGCCCAGTGTCTGGTGCAGGGCTAGCAACCCAGTGTCCGGGTAGATGTGCACAAAATAATATGGAAGTAACAGTTATAATATTCAAGGTAGAAGAGCTGACACAGGTACACGCCTCCCACCTCCCCTCCACCCTCCTCCAGCAGGGCAGGCGCTCCTTGGGCAACTTTAGGTCCTGAAGATTAATCGGCCTGGCCAAGGCTGCAAGAAGACCCCAGAGCAGCCGAGAGGCGATCACGCGTCGCAAAGATCAACTTGGCGGTAAAAGAGCTGGAGCTCCCAATAGCCGCAAAGATGCAGGAGCCAGTTGCGCGGGGAAGGGGGCTACTCGGATTCCACGACCCCCTCTGCAAATCCGACTCCAGAGGGGAGTGTAAGAGGTTCTCAACAGCAATGGTGGCCTTGATTACAGTGGGCTCTCCGAAGCTAGAAGGCACAGGAGCCCCGTGGGCCAGGAGCCGAGCGCGCCGGGCGAATGGGCATGGCGCTCGGGGGCGCACAGGGCGGCGCGCAGCCCGGGGGGCGCGGGGAGGCACTTCGAGGCGCCCAGCGTGGCTCACTCACGCGTCTTCCCCCCTGGCCTGTGGCTCCGCGGCAGCCCCGACCGGTCTTCGCCGTCTCCCGACAGCCCAGGGCCGTTTGCAAATACACATGCACCTCACTGAATGATGTCTCCGCAATCCCGCCTCCCGCCGGGCGTCCTTGGCGACGGTCCTCACCAGGGCCTTCCCCGAGGTCAAGCAGAAAAGACAAAAGGGCAATGGGGCCGCCTCAGCCGGCTTGGATATCCACTAGTCAAGACCCTGGCAGAGAAAATCCAAGAGGCCAAGTTGAGGACGAGAGCTTCTGCGAGGGCTGCAGGGGGCTGCTCCAGGCCCGCCTGAAGGAGTGGAAAGGTCAAGGTGGAGGTGTCCGCGTCCTGGGTCCTGCCGGAGTGTCCTGGGGAGATGGCGAGGTGGCAGTTGAGCCAGTGGGATTCGTGACTCCGAAGAGAGCCCAGGAGGCAGCTAAATGGCAGTCCCGTGCACGCGCGTGTCAACCCCCCCGGTCTCCCGGATACGGCGCAGCTCCGCAGCAGACACCTGATGGCAAAGGTAGAAGCAACAAGAGCGGGCTCCCGGCTAGGCGCAGCCCCTCGGCCGCCCCTCGACAGCCGCCCACAAGTGGGTCCTCCTGCTCAAAGTGCAGGAACTTTTCCCAGGCTTTGAATCCTGCCAGCCACGGCCACGGCGGGAGTCCTCCTGCCGCCGTCGCGACGCCGGTCTCCTGGCGCTGCACCTGACTCGGCGTCCGCAGTCCCGGGCAGCCCGTCTGCCTCTGGCCCCTTCACCTCTCCCGGCTGCTTCCGCTTCTCCCTCTCCAGGGACGGGGACGGGGGGGAGAGGGAAGGCGGCGACGGAGAGCGGGGACCCGGTGGCTCTGCGGACTCCCGAGCTCCTGGCAAGTCTCTGAACAATAGGACGGACGAGGCAGCCCCAGCCTCCTGCGGCTGCGGGAAGGTGGATCGCTGGTGCGACTGGAGTTGTTCACTCGGGCTGCCCGGCGCTCGGCGCAGCAGAACAAAAAACCTGCCCCGCGCCTCCGGAGAAGGTTTTGGGGGCCCCCGGACGCGCCTCTTTCTCCTCAGCAGTCCCGCCGCGCCCGGAAAGCTCGGCAGCCCCTGGCAGCGCCGCGGAGCCACGACGCTCCCATCCCTCGCCGCTGCCGCCGCCTCTTTTCAACCACCGTCTGCGGCAGCCGCCGCCGCCGCCACCTCGCGCGGCCCGCACGCTCCCCAAATAAATAACCCCAAGTCAGAAGTTAAGCCGGCGCCGGCCTTATATACCCACCCGAGCCCCCACCCCCTCGGCCCCGCCCCGCGCCGCCCGGCCCCGCCCCCTGGCTGCGCGCGGGGAGCCCGCACCTCCTCGCCGGGGAGAGGTGAGGCCCCGGCGGTCTGCGCCAGGCGGAGGCGGTGGTGGCGGGTGGCGCGTTTCCGCGCGCCTCGGCTCGCGCCCTGGCTCCCACGCGCGGTAAAGTTTGCGGGAGGAACGAGGATCCCGCACCCCCGCCCGGGGCCGCAGAGGTGACCCAGCCTCGGAAATGGAGGTTCGCCGCCGTGGGGTGGGGGGGAATGGGGAGAGGGCGGCTTTGAACGCGACTCGCAGACGGCCCCGCCAGTCGGTGCCTCTGCTGCAGCTTTTGCCAGGCGATCCGAAGGGGGCTGCTCAGTGTTTGCAGCGCAGCGAGGGAGAGAGAGAGAGAGATTATGATTTAAAATAAAATTAAAAAAAAAAATCTACCGAAATAGATCTCCCTGCGCTCACAGACACACACATGTGTATTTTGGGGAGCTTCAAAGTTCAGAGTTTTTCCAAGTTGGAAAACGGTGTTTTGCAACCTTCTCACCAGCCTTCCCATTTCCGAAATACCGCCTTCCGTTTAACCCTTTCCTTATGGTCGCACACTTGACAACACCCCGCTCAGCCGACGTCTTGAATTTATAATACACTCACAAAACTCCAAGGGCTTGAATGTGTGTGTGATTTTACTCACTTAGGAGGGGAAAAAATAAATTCCTAGCAACACACACTGTACCAGAAGGTTTGCTTTATTTCGGGGAAGTTATGGATATTTTTTCCTCACTATATTTTGGAAGAGAATTTCCTTGTTTCTTTTTGTCTTTTTAGTGTGATGTGTGTCTGGCAACTGCTACCGCTCCCCAGCCCCCCACCCCCCACAAAACCAAAATCACCGGTGGTTTGAATTGACACACAGATTGGTCAACAACTTTGCATGAATTTCAACGCCTCACCCAGCCCTTCCTTGCCCGATTCCATCAGGGCTTTCACAGGAGTCTGTGCAAACCCCCAGCCTCATGCCCGTCTCATGGTGTGACAGTTACTAGTATACTGATGTGTCACCCACTTGAAAGAAAGAGGATGTGTCCAATTCCTTTTTTATTTCCAGCGTTTAACAATACCCTGGGCACATAGTAGGAGCTCCGAAATGGACCGATTTCTTTAACACAATAATACACTCCATCTGAAAAGTCTAGACTATCCCCTTTACCTTTGTTCCTACCTGAGCTTTTCCAAATGTCTTTTCATAGTGGCCACCTCTACCTCTCCTTCTGCCTGGCCTTGACAACTTGAAGGCCATTCTGAGGACATTTCCAAAGACAGGCTACTTGTTAGATAAGAGAATTGGAACTCTTAGGATACTTAAGTTAATGTCATAGGTATACGCTACTCTGTTCTTCTAAAGACTTCAAAAACATTGAACATTTATTCACTTATTTGGGCTTCTGGATCCTAGCTTAAAGTTCTGTTATGTAACTTCCTTGAGAAAGAAAAAGGGGAAGGCACAGCCACATTTCCTTGAAAGGGAAATTAGGTAAAGAACAAGTACCTATCACTGATGAAGAATTCTGCCATCCTTCTCCATGCCCTTCCACCCCCAGTGAATTTTCTTTAGTCTGTACCAGTCAATTAGGTGGTTGAAATATGTTTACTACCACACTGATTCCTCAATTTCACGATTTTTATCCCTTGTCAGCAACGAGATGTGTTTATGTTCAACTTTATTCACCACATAGTCATTGCTCTATAATTGTAAAAACATATCCTGTATTTCATTACCCATAAATAATGCTATTTGTATCATTGCACAGTGCAAGTCACAGACATGAGTTCAGGTTCATTTTTTTTTTTCTGGTCCAATTCCCTTCTGCGTAAAACAAAGAAAAGAACTGGAAATAGCATTCGGAGCCACAGGCCTATAGAAACATTTTTTTTTAACTTGGTGCGAATTTACATAAGAAGGTATGTCCAATGGATTTCATTAAGAAAAAAAAAAAGAAGACTGCAACTAATCTACGAGAGACATGGCACATTAATTTATTTGTGTCATCAACTTTTCAGCTAATAATCACAACTTTATACATGAGTGACCAGATTTCTCATCTTTACAAATAGTGAAGTGTGATTTTGGTGGCCTCGCATTGCGTCAATACCATTAACGTCTAGGTCCTAATTCTAGGTCGTTCCCAAAGGAGTCCTGAGATCCTCTCTGACTGTGGTACACCCGCCAGAAAGGAAGCCTTTTGCGGTGCCTCTCGTCACCGCGGGAGGTCTCCACAAATCCTGACCTGGATTAACCAGAAGTGGAATCCACTCGAGTCAAAATTCAAGTCTCCTGTTACATTCAGGGGAAAAAAAAAGTGTTACTAAAATAATTTAGAAAATAATTTAGACACTTAAAAACCCATATAGTTTTTAAAAAATAAAAAACAAACATTCTCTCAATTTGCATTTTCAGAAAAAGAGTTTGTGACATCGGGATGTATGGGATAAAGGAAACTGGGGAATTGATAAAGAAAAGAGGTAAATATGAGTAAAAGCAAAGGTAAATGACAGTAATAGCATCAATTAAATTCATGAAACCTACAGAATAATTCCATAACTACTTCCATACCACACTCATAGTTACAAAAGATGTTCATGTTAATTGTAATTTTTCACAATGTCTGTGCATTAAACATACAGATACGGAACCCTCACATCATTGAAGATTAATATTTAACTACAATTTGTTTTATTCCTCCTGAGTGCCAAGCCTCTTGATAGGGTTAAAAACCAGAGTGTAATTCTAAACGGTTGCCGCTTTATTTGTGTTCAGGTGAGAATGCTGGTCTTCTGCCAGGTCTGATTACATGGCAGAGCTGAAACCAGAACCCGGGTCCTCTCACCTCGAGTCTCAACTGGCTCTCCCAGAATCACCTCCATCTACAGAACCTCTGGAGCTCCCAGGGGTCAAGGAATCTCTCTAGCTGGTCAGAAACTGTCACCCGCAGGCAAAACTTCTTCACCTCTCTGTACACAGTTTATGGTCATCTCCAAGCAGCAGGCGAGAAAGCGCATCCCTGGCACCAGCACCCCAAGGCAATTGTTGAAAC